CTGCGATGATCTCCGCAGATGTCGCACGGCGATGATCTTGATATCGTTTTGTTCGTACACCCCCATCTCTTCCTCCCCATCGTCCACGGTGTCTACAATCAAGCCATGCAAGCACAGCAGATTGATTTGACACTGAAGTAGAGCGCTAGGCCAATTGGCATCAGGCAACGGCTTTATCCACAAGTGACAAAGCGCAAGACCGATGCGTACCAGGCAATGGCTCTACAGTTGGTGCATCGCATGATCACGGCAACTATCAGATCCCTAAAGCGATTAAGACAGCACCAGATCACACAATGTTTACTTTCACACACCCAAAGATCATAGCGGTATGCAAAGATCTAACGGGTATGGAGTAAGCTGCGCCTGTTGCGGAAGTGGAACTTCAGAGCAACAACTGCGCAAGAAGCTGGTAGCATGGCAGGGGCCGCAGCTGCTACCAAAGGTTGTCAGGATGGACAGGGCTTTGCGCATGGTCAGAAGGGCTTTGAAGACCGTCATGGCGATGCGATGAGGGTCCATATCGTGTGTTGGCGATTTCGGCGTACAGCAAGCAGACAATGCTTGGGTGCGCTGCTCGCCAGCCAGACATTATGCGTTGTGAGAGAAAGAGCTTTGCGCTGCGGTCTTGATGGGTTTGTTGTTACCTACCCTCCGACGCGCTCTCCGTCACTCAGCCTCTCGAAGAGAGCGTGAGAGTCGCGAACGGGGAATAGATACGGATATGTGTATCTAAGTATAGCTGGCGCCTCGAGATACTGTAGACGGTCGATTATGGCGTTCATGCGGTGCCAAGCGTCAACGTCATCATCCAACGACGCAGATGACTGCCAGTTTGCGAGCATGACACGAGCGCGTCGGAGGGTGAGTCGACCGCTGGTTATAAGGAAGCTCAGCTCGTCCCAGAGAATCTCGTGTCTCCAGCGACAGCCCGAACCGAGCGGACAAGTATAGGGTAACCTGAAGGTGATGTCGCATAAGCCCAGATCGCAGGTGCGATCGCAAAGGTAGAGCCAAGGCGAGAGTCGGCCGTGCCGTGGGAAGCCTCCGGGTGTGAGACCGTAGACATGATACGGTCTCTTCCCAGGGAGGTTTGTAGTCCATGGTGGTGACTGGAGCGATACTATGTTGCAAGTGCCTTTTGCTTGTTCTTTTCCTTCGATCCATGACGCTGAGTGACGGATCTCAAGCGTCTCGATCTCTTCCTCTAGCTTTACTTCAATCACCTCTGCTGCGATTTCGGCGGAGAGGACATGCTGAGTCTCGATAGGTACTGGGTGGGTATCGAGATCTGCTGTATTGGAGCTTGGCATAACAGCCTCGTAATGATAGTAGTAGCCGTTGCTATCGTACAAGAGGGTATCGTCGTCATCGGGATAGATAGAATCGATGTCTTCTGGCAGGTTTTGGTCATCGTAGGAATCGTCGTCATGGTCTGTTGATGTCCCTGCATCCAGTAAAATATTAGCGTGTCTCTTGAAGCTGGTGGTGCAAGTTTCTGACCTCGCTTTTTGAGGTGATCGGGGTATTGTTCTGGTTTGTTGTGGTTAATTTTGACATCGCAATCTGCGTCTTTGATGCTGTTGGAGCGCTTGAGATTCTTTTTGTTGAAATTGAATTCGTGTCTTCTCTTATGGGTCATTGTGTATTTCGTATTCTTGTGTGAGTAAAGAGTAAAAGAGCAAGCTCGACGAGCGTTTACTGACTGCTCAGGTGTGCGAGAACCGTGCGCTTAGCGTGGCGCGTCACCATACCCGTTTGGACCATCTCATGAGCCAGTTACCCAGAAGCTAGCTAAGTAAACTCTTCGTCAGTTTATACTGCATCGCATATTGTGCGTACCGTGATAGCGCCGTTTTCTCCATCGACATACGTAGCGTCAAGTGCTGTCAGCGCGACGATTGATTCCACACGCGAGGAATTACACGATGAAAGAGCTGTGAACAATAGTTTCAGAAGTCTTAATAGTGCTTTCAGACTGAATCCAGGATGAGATCGTGTAGTAAGAGCTAATGAGACCTTGATTGAACTGCGGGGAACTGCAATGAAGTGAACATGTGCTCCGGCGAATACACGCCTGCCTAGCGGCAATGCGACCACGTAACGAACTCAACCCAGCGTCAAACAGATCACGAGCCATCCTTCCAAGCCTCTTGCTGTCACAAAAAGTGTGGTTAAACTTCAACCACCCGTTTGCATGGCAGTCGATGGCAAGAGCGCGGAGATGTCGCACGCCGTCAGGATGTGAAAGAAACACTATGCGCTATTGCATAGCCAGAAGAATGAAAGATCAAGCAATAGTATACCTTGACGTATAGCTATGGTCAAAGAAGAGTAAAAGCACGAGCAATACTATACCCAAGGTACAGCCGAATGGCAAAACACGGTAAGTAGTGGTGCTCACCAGAGACCTAAACAGCTATATGCAATTGCGTATAGCCCAAGAACATCATCTGACCGAATCTGACCACAGATGAGAATATGAAAAACCGTACTGGGACAGTACGGCCATTAGATAATGCAAGTGCATGGAAGAGCGCAAACTGAAGAAGCGATAAAACAAGCTTCACGAGACGGGGATTTCACAATCTTGCGGGACGGCGAGATCAGGTTAGCATACAGAGAAAAGGGGGAGCTCGTTAGATGAGAGCTGATGTTCAGCAGATATCGTCCCATGAGCGTGAGCTTGCACGCCGGCTGGGTAGTACCTTCGGTTCAAGGCGTTCACCAAGACCTAATGTGATCGCTTCCATGCGGGCTATGACTTCTGGTAGTTGATCTGAATGTTCATTTGTGTTCCAGTTTGCCATGAGTTGGCGAGCAAGCTGCACAGAGACTCGCCCGCTGGTGATGAGAAAGCAGAGAGTTGTCCATGATAAATTGTGATCCCATCGGCAGGAGGCACCAAGGGGGCAGCTGCCCGGGGTGCCAAATGTGTACCAACAGAGGCCCAGCTGATTGGACTTGCTACAAAGGTAGCGCACGACCCAAAGCAATCCGGAATTACGCGATCCATCTTTGTTGTTGGGGTAGACGTGATGTGGCATCTCTGGCCGATGGGACGCTTCCCAGGGAACCGCATCAAAGTATTCGTCACAAGGATGTGGCAGCGTGACAACTTTACCAGTTAGGCCAAGTTTGGCATGGGCGACTATTTTCGCGCGCGCTCGAGCACTCATCCACCCCTCCCAGTGTAGAACCTTTAGAGGAGTTTTGTCTTTGTATAGAAGGCTTCCTAGAGATACATCTGAAATGGATGGACAGCCAATGTCAGTCTCGCTTAGCGAGAGATGTTCGGAACATGTCTTTGGCGTAGATCTCCTCGATGCTTCGAATGGTGTCATAGGTTCATTACCGGTACGAATTTGAGCGGGTGCGACATAAGTTGGCAGTACTGGTGAGCTGCTGCCTATCTCACCCTGTGGGACCTCAATCGCGATTTGGTCGTGCGAGCTCATATCCAGATTGAAGATCTGCGGTACGATCGATTCGTATTTTGCTGCCGAAGACGATGGTACTACTAGAGCATTGGGAGTTCGCGGCTGTGGTGGATGATGTGCGTATTCATCTGAGACTGCCGGTGTCCCAGAGCTTTGTTGAGAGAGCTGCGGCTGTGGAAACAATGTCGACGGGCCTCCTTGGTATTGCAAGCCGCATGTTGTTTGACAGATTGGCGTGTATTGTGCAGGTGATGGCTCTGCGATGTCATACATTGGCGGGGCCTGATGTGGCATGTATGTTGGTACAGCATGCGGTAGATCGTGACGGAACTGCGGTGGTGGCGGGTGGGCCGGTTGTGGCGGTAGATGATATTGCTGTTGCGAGTGATAGTATGGTTGCTGGAGTGCATATTGCTGCCGTTGCGGGCCAGGGTTATGTGGTTGCGACGGATTGCATTGAGGTGGAGGCGCAGCATATTGCACTTGTGGGACAGGAAGATGGTACGTTTGCAGCGCATGTTGTTCATGTGGTTGATAAACCTGCTGCTGCGGAAGGATTTGCGGTTGATGTGAATAGTACTGCGTTGATGGCACATAACAGTCTATTGGTGGTGCAAAGCTCTGCGGTGGTGGGCTGAGGTACTGTGTCTGCGATATAGGATACTGTTGTAGTGGTGGAGCATGTTGTTGAGGTGCTGCAAGAAACTGTTGTGGTGGAAGGTATCGCGGTTGCTGGAGCGGATACTGCGGCTCAGATGGTGCGTATGGCGGAAGCGGTACGTCTTGTTGAGCTTGTAGAACTGAGTTGCTCACGAGTGGAAACTGAGGTGGTAGCAGTCCGCTGGGATACGGTTGCCGAAATTGAGGATCGGGATGTATTTGCGGGTACATCTGCTATGTGTCAGTAAAGAGCCGCGACAATTGCGGTTTTCACTCACGTTTTCGATGACTGGGGAAGAAGCCGAGCAGAACTGTCATCGCGGGGCAGAAGAGTAGGAAGGCGCGGACTGTGCGCTTAGCGTCGCACGCAATCACGTGGTCACCGTGTTCATGGCAACGCATGGGAAAACTTGAACGGCTCTGTTTGAGCGCCAAGCACGCTATTCAATGTTACCTTGTTGAATGAGAACGACGAGATATCTCTCAACGTCGCCATCAAGCTCTCGCTTTGCGCTAGACATGATGGCTTTCCCGCGATCTCCTCTCAAGGAGCAAAGCTTGGCATTCAATGACTTCGTGTCCGGGTTGGATGCGCTATACGGTCCTCTCGAAGCTGCACTTGATGCGTCGGATGCCGAGCTTTTGCCTTTCATCAAGGCGGAGACCGAAGATACTGACATCGAAGCCGCACTTGATGTTTCAAATGCCGAGCTTACGCCTTTCATCAAGACCGAGACCGCAGACACTGACATGAAAGCGACCATCGCTCCTCAGGCCGATCAGGCTCACTAATACGAGTACAGTGACGACTACCCCGATTCACGCGAACGAAGCCTTCCAACGCATCATACTCGAGCCAAAGCACTCCTTGCGCGCTTCGAACATTTCCTCCCCATAGCCATGTCCAAAGCCGCAGAAGCTACAGGCATCGACTACACCGGATGGGACGAGCAGAAGGCCCTTGCGGCGATTGCCAAAGCCGTTGCGGTCTGGCCACGCCATGACTTAAGCTTCATCGAGATTGACTACCCGCGCGCCAAGCGCAATTGGAAAAACGGGACTCTCAAGAAGTACGATAGGAGGGTCCTGGCGGCGTATGAAGACGATGACATCGCGGCTTTGGCTATCTACAATCGGATGAAACCGCGGTACAGAAGACGTGTACTTACCAGGATTCGCCAAGGGAAGCGCCGTGGGAAGGTGTCGACTGGTGGTGATCATTATGAGCCGGGCATGTGAAGGGGAAAGACGAGAGAGCAAGGTCTTTGCCAAAGCGTTGATTTGAAACGAGACCTGCTCTTTGCGTGCTGAGCGGAGCTTGAAGAAAGGACGTTGTGGGACTGTGGAGACATAGCGTCAAGCTGAAGCAGACATGTTGCTCCTGGGATGACAGGAAGTGGGAGGAACAGGACGGATCTGGCATGTGGTATTGACGGCCATCGAGTTTGACTACTTGGTGTGGAGCCTGTATGCTGGTACATCTCTTGCCACTCTTGCATATGAAGTCGTCTCAATCGCGCATCCGTTCCTCATCGTGATATCGTATCTCATGTCCTCCAACGCGTACCTTTCACTGAGCCATCTAGTCAATCAAATTCCAAACGCAGCTTCAGCACTTAGTCATGCGTGTCATTCCGACAGCCAAACGTCGATCCAATGCGCGCTCTCACGCCTAGGCAAGAGTAAACATCTCACCCGTCCACCCATACTCTCTCTCCAGCCTTCTGCCATACCGCCTCGCCCACGTGAGAGGAAGTTTGCTGAGCGCGCCGTGTGGAGCATGGAATTGGATCGCACGCTCTGTGTCCAAGGCTGGTGTGAATCTCCAAGCAGACCCGTGGAGCTTCTCTGCTTCGAAGCCGCGCTGCACCATAGCGTGAACGAAGTCCTTCCAAGATACTTCACCTGGTACATCTCGCGCTGAAGGGGAGAAAAATAAGGTCTTGAACAGGAGATAAGATCGCTTGTCGACGTTCAATTTCGGCGTTGGAGACTTTACGATCTCGTTGGCCAGACGCTGATCAGTACCAGTAAGACTGGCTGACACGTCGGTGCCACGAGTCTTGATCTTCTCCCTGATCAAGGCCTGGGATTTGTTGTGCTCACCACTGGTAGTGACCGGGTTGCTGATGTTTTCGTCAACTCTCTCTTCATGGCGCTGTGGAAGGGCTTCGGTCCAGGGTGCAGTGCGGCGAACAGCGCGTCCAGCATCTCTATGCCGCAACAGCAGATCAGGTAAGCTCGTTCCAGTCAAATTCTCACAGAAAGTGTCTGCAGCCAACCAAAAGGCGTCTAGGTTTTTCTCTGCAAGGCGCATCGCCTCCGTCGTCTTCTTGGTCTGTTTCTCGGTAGATGGATAATAGAACTTGCCGTCTGAAGGATCTGCCTTGAGCGCTAAGGCGACATCCTCGAAACGTCGCAGATGTGCTATAGGCTCCCACTTGAGTCCAAGACGTCTGAACCACGACATCAGCAGTGGTCTAAGCTGTTCCACATCATTCTGGATTTTCGTTGCCCAAGGTTGATACGATCGAATCTGCTGGATGCACTCCGAGGAGATGGACAGCTGAGAAAACTCTGACCATGCCAAAGACGACACCAGCCCTTTGACATCCGGTACTTTAGTGGCCATCCTTTCTAGGTCATCCAGCTCGGCGATAAAGCCAACGGTGGGGGGTGAAAACGGTTCCCAGATTCTGAGTAAGACTTCGAGGAAGCGAAGTATTGTCGAGTCGCCATTGGCTCGTGCAGCATCAATCTCGCAATGATATCTGACACTGCCCTGATCAGTATAGGCCTTGACAAAGTAGGGTCTCATATTCGGACATCCAAGGAGGGTGTGCCGGAAGGTTTCGTGCTTATCTGTGTGCAGCACATGAAGCATTGTCCACAAGAGCAGAAAGTTCACGTGATATCCTTCAGGAAGATCTTGGTCGTGAGGAAAGTTGAAGTTCTCCTCGATGGCCGTGGACCGCAACGCTGTCACAAGACGCAAGCACTCTTGCCAGTAGAAGAGAGGTAGGTAGGCCCCAAGGACGAGCTCGCGAAGGATAGCGCCGGTCATCACGTGGGGTGGCTGTTTCAGTATTGCAGCCGCGTTGCTGTCCGTAGATTGAACATACTCGGATCGATGTGCCTTGTAGTCATTGGAAATCTCTGTGAAGTAACCTGGGTCTTCTCGAAGCGCCCAGACATGATCCTCCAGTTCGCAAACCTTGGAGCTGACCAAGCTACGCAGGCGGTCGAAATCCAGCTGTCGGTGATTGCCGTACGGAGCCATCAGAGAGACCTCTACCCGATTGATATAGTTAGTAGACTTGTCATCTAGGCAGGTTATCGGTGGAGTAATGGGATGTCGTTCAGGTTGATCTTTCTCGTCGGCCAGGATATCGCCGACTAAGAGGTGACAGCATCGCTGCAAGAATGTATAGATGATCTCCTGTATGCGAAGTATCTGGAGTCCATGTCCTGGATGCACTCCTCGCCCGCTGTAGATCGCCAATCGAGCATCTCCCTGGTCTGTCCAGTGCTTCAGTTGACCGTAGTTGTTTCGCGTATTCCTTCCAACGAAGACCATTGTGTAGTCCGGAAGATACTGACAGAGGCAGGAGTCGGGCCACCGGGCGATTGGGCAATTGAGTAGTTCTGTTTGACTGAAGGATTCGATTGTGGCGCGACCGCGCGAGTTGAGGAACGTAAGAAGGGTCCCGGGCTGTAGAAGGTCCTCTAGGTTAAGAAAGGGCACCAAGCAGGCTGCACTGTTCCGCGCCCTACATACTTGAGGAGTGAGAATCCTTTGGTCATCTTTGTATCTTGCCGGTTCAGCAAGATCGGTCTCAATGTCCGGGCGATGGCCGCTTGCCATATCTGGCCTTGCCGTAAGAAGCAGCTTTTTCTTCTTTGCAGTACTCTTCTTGCTCCATCTCTTGCGGATCGTATGCTCGTGTCGCTCAACAATATAGCGCACGTCTTCGAAAGACGTGAATATACCCTTCACATAGAGGCGAGCTAGACGCTCTACTTCTTTATGAGAAGGGAAGAATCTTATCGCGGGGTAAAATTGGAAGAACTGGACTAGATTTGTGCCACCGAGAGGGCTGTCCGCGAATTTGTCGAGGAGGATCTCGTCAACTGATCGCTTAAGTTTGACGACTACCATTCTCACGTGAGACCAATTTGGCTGGATGGGCGGCGCCATCTCCAACGTCCAAAAGGCGGCTTGATGTTTTGCTGAGGCTGGTGTGGACTGAGAGAGACAGACGAAGGAGGCTCTGCTTAGACAATCAAGGTAAAGGTAAAAGAGGCGCGGCAAGTCTAGCCCAATACAGACGACCTTAGTGCGTCATTTGCCAGTGACTTCGGATACGTACCCAGAGCGCGGACGGAGCCAAAACGCAGTATGGATGCGGAAGTTGGCTAGAACAATGCTGAGAGAGATATCGTGTGGTCGAGACTCTCGATGGGCGTAGCATATGGGCCATGTCTCGAGAGGAACGTATGTGTCCATGTGATGTCGGGGCCATGATTGGAAGTCTGTATGATGGTGACTGGCGAGCTGTCATTATGCGCGTCCTCGTTGTCGCAATACCGAGAACCATTCGAAGGATCACTCCTCGGTATTGCTGTATCCACCGACAGTGATCACAAAGCTGTTAGATATAGATTGTTGCAATGACTTGCACAACCTCGTTTTGATGTGGCTGCCAGGCCACCCGTCGCAATATGATCTCCTTGATGTGGCCTTTGTCAGGCTTTCGCCGCGACCCAATCTTGGTGGCAGAAGTGCGGCGCCTTCGTTGGAGCATGCCACCGACATCCTGACCTGCATCGTCTGAAATTTGATCAGACAGTGAAAGCGACAAGTCGAAAGTTTCTGCGCGTGACGCTAAGTCGTGATATGAAAATAACGCGCCATATTCGCACATGGCCCAACACCTCCCACCCATCTTCTACCGCACCTTTCGCGTCGAACACCGCCCACACTCCAACATTCCACGATCAAGTCGCGACCTCTTTCGTCCAGTATCGACGCGATGTCGGAACAGCGCGACATCACTTCCGTGTATGGCCGCCGCGATAGTGATCCTGACCCACAACGGAACGCACCCTCGGAGACAGCAAGGCGGACAGATGGTGGAGTTGAGTGTAAGTATAAGGATACGTCGTACTTTCGTATAACCGACGCCGACATCATGAGCAAGCGCGATACCCTTCAAGCATCCTGCGGTGGCTGCATGATGGGGCGCGACGACCTCGTATGCGCCAGGGTCACACGCCTTCCCTCTCTTGATCAGGTTAGCTGACATTGTATTCGCAGACGACCTTCCTACCGAGCGTGAACTGGAGACGTTCAGTGTGCGAGTAGAGACGAAGCCCGGTGTCTTCATGCCAATTGGCCCGGTGAAGGGTCTGAAGTGCCCGATAGCGAATTGCCTGCCGCCATCCGGACCGTACTACGACGAGTTCATTCTCGAAAGCACCTTCGGCGAAGCCATGTTCGACGTGTACGCCAACGGCGAGATCCGCGTGTGTATTGTTTGCTGGGGGCCCAAGCATGAAGCCAGCCACAAGAGGTGCAAGAGGAAGTGTCGAGTTTGCGGAACTTGTGACCATCCGGGGCAGACATGTGGTCAGATATATGCGAGGATGTCGTGGTGGAAGGCTCGCGGCCACAAGGTGGTCAAGACACAGCACATCCGCCCCGGTGTTGGCGAATTCGTCTACCTAGTGAAAGCCGGACTCGTGCACAGCTTCCGAAAGTTTACGGACGTTGTCAACGTAAACGAAGGCCATCCGCTCGTACGCGAGCTCTTCCGCACGACCTCGATGCCACTGTATACACCGGGAAGGACTGTCTGGCCCAAGTCAGGGAAGAGTCAAAAGCAGTCAAGGCCAAGCGTTGAAGGGCCTTCAAATCCTGAGGGCATTGTTTCGCATGTGCCGGAAGAAGTGCAGGAAGCGCAAAAGCCGGTACACGGCTCCGAGCCCAGCAACAGAGGCTCCAACCACAGCGTGGATTCCAGTCGTGATCCCAGGCTTATGACTCGACGCGTGGTAGATGAAGAGGATGGGGTACTTAGTGGTGAAATTGCACCGATTGTCGATCAGCCAGTGACACATAAGTCTGGCGGTGGTGATATAGCAGCGAGCGCCTCTGAACAAGACACATCGCACCAGTCTGAGCGGAACCGCTTCCTGGAGGCCGAGAACAGGCGCCTAGTTGAAGAACTTCGGCAAGCTCGCATTGAGTTGGTTGCAAAAGACGCTCGCATTGCTGAGTTGACGGGTGACGGCGTTCCAACGGGCACAAAGCGCCCCAGGACCTGAGGCGATATGCTCCCGCTTTCGCGAGTAGGATAGCTGCAGATGGACTTTCGTAATGATACCTTTAGAGCAGAATTGAACATCTCCTGTACCACTACCAGAAATTGACGATACATGCACCGTGATTGAGGTGGACAAGCATAATACCTCTGCTCGAACCTCTACACTTTGGAACGACTATCTGCATATTGCAGCAATCGACACAGCAAAGAAGGAACTGACTAGTAGGACTTGATGAAGATGCAAGACTGCTCGGCAGCGTCGAAAGACGTCAAAAAGGTGTAATCGCGCGCGCGTGAAGCCGGCGTGCAGACGTCTGCAATGAAAACGACGCCGGCAAAAAGAAGCAAAAAAGAAAGGGCAAAAAGAAGAAATCGTGCGCTGATAGATGCTCGCCCACGTGAGCGACCTCGTTAATGGTCACTCACCCGGCTACGAATCCGTTGGAGCAAGCTGGTAAAGCCCCGAGGGGCCAGTTCCAGAAGGGTGTACATGTCCTGTGTCACACGATGGGAAACTCTGGAATTGTAAGCAATATAATGTGGGTGTACCGCAAATTGCGGAGATTGTGGGCCTTTGGAAGTTTAGGCGACGATCGAAATCTGCGCGCAACTTGAGGCTGCCTGCGCACAATCCGTGATTGGGACAGTCGAAACGGGCTACCGGCCACCTGCACATTCGTAGTTCATGTAATCATTCTCGTCGATGTAAAGTCTGGTGCTGCGACGGTATGGTGGAATGTCATTGACGTGCGTGGTTGTGATGGTGCGTGGCTGCTGCGATGCATTGCGATGTACGGCTGGACGAGCGTGTGGAAAGAGTGATGAAGACGCGTCGTCGGAAGATCGGGGATGTAAGTTTGCCGCTAGATTAGTCATCCCAGCTCCACTTTCGCAATTCGCCGCACCGGCGCGCCTCACGACATCACGTCCCATGTCCATAGATATCATCCAGAAGTCTACATCGCTTTAGAATGTTACAAACTCTCATTTTGATACTCATGTAGTCTCAAATGACTGGGCACATTTGCCTTCCTATACATACACGCACATCCTTCCACGATCATCGCCGACCCAGCCGCACATAGTAGCCTGCGAGCCAGGCTACTTGCTAATGCTCTAGTATGCGCCACCAGTGTCAGCAGCTTGAGCGCGCAGCTGCTCGAGCTCCGCCCTGAGCTTCCGAATCTCACGATCCTTCACAACTGCCTGCATTCTCAAGTTCAGATTCTCGACCTCCTGATCCTGAAGCTTCTTTTCGATGTCTTCTGGGTCAGTCGGGGTTTCGCTGCTGTTGCTGGCGGTATCGGGCTGCGGAAGCGCCAGTTGGCCGGGCGCGCCATATGACGTGCGACCCTGGAGACGCGGGTCGAGGCTGTTGTCCACGGATCTTATCGGTATGGTGTATGAGCCCATCGGCGGCGGGAGGGGTTGCTGCTGAGGGGCGTTCGCCACGAGCGTTGGCCCACGGCGCGATGGAATGGACGCCGAGCGATGCCTCGGGTCCGCCTCGAATATCTTCCGCATCAGTGCCTTCGACCTTGGCTTGTCTTTGTAGAAGTCCTGAACGATCGGATGCATTGGGTTCACAAGAATAGTGTTATTTGGACCGCGTGCAAGATACATGACACCGATATAAGAGAGGACAGCGAGCTCTTGTTTGTCGGGACGGATCTGTCGATCTCGAACGGTGTTTGGACCCCATGGAATCTCCTGCTGGCGATACCAGTCTCTATTACAGTAGAATAGGGAACAGCTCTAGCATCTATGTCAGCAGTGCTATTGCGCATTCGCGATAGTTCTTACCTCGTCCGGGTGGCGGCGGGTTCCGCAGACCTTGCATACCTTCCCGCAAGACGTGGTCGAATAACCTGCGGTGGGGTGGCAGGTCCAACAGATCATACAGGGTTTGTACTTGAAGAATATAGGGCCAAAGACGGGGAGGAGCGCGTTCTGGTCGTAGTATGCTCCCGCAGGTGGTAGGTATCGCTCGATCGGGTACGTAAGGCCAGCAGGGAGTGTCATCGACGAGGGCGAAGAAGGCGTAACAGCAATGTTGCCAGGAAACGACGGGAGCGACTCCAAGAATCTATCCGCAGCGTCGTAGGTCGGGAACTCGCTCTTAATGCCGACTGGCTGAACATTGGCACCAGTCGGTTTCCAGCGCCCAGCGGCCCCCGAGTCGGGTTCAGGTGGTTCTGCTTTGGGTCAGTAGGGTTGAAGAGGCCGTTTCGGGTGCTTACCTTCGACGTCCATCATGCTGAGGCGCTCGGGCGTTGTAGACTGCCTTTGTTGTCGCTGCACACCGTCGTCGAGCGCAGAAACACCAGGACTAGGGGTAGACTGCGGCGGCTTCGGGGCGTACAAGGCTTGCATCAGATATAGATTGGCCATCGCGATGTGTCGGGGTGGTTGATGTCTGTGGGCATGGAAATCTCGAGTGTTTGACTGTTTTTTGACAGCGACGCGCCTCAGCTTGGCGTGTCGCTCTCACCTACGTACCTAAACGAGTAGGCACGACTGGGACCCGGAAGCACGTGGCCGTGACATAGCCTGGGCATGCAAAGTCACTTCTTCATGATGGGCACTAATGGATCAGCTCATACAAGAAGAATTTAAACACGTCTATAGACTACATCAAGACAAGAACTTGCAAAGTAGGTAACCTCACGTTAACGTGGACTCTAGGGTGTTTAGCCCGTGAATCCGAAAATACCAAAGCTCTGCTGTTGCTCATCATGCTCTTATATGAAGCCCAGTACACCATCAAGTGTCGTGTCGCTCGACGCCTGACTAGTCTACCAGTATCTAGATCAACCATTCCATCAATGCGGCAACGTGTCCATCATGTCCGACCGTTATGTCTATTCCAAAGACCATCCAAGCTTAGCCTTGAGCGTCCTGATCATCCTGTCCTTGTCCTTGCTCTCAGCAATGTATTGAAGCTCTCGCTGGTCGCGCTCATGCAACAGCTTCTCGTAGTGCAGCTGTAGGCTAGCCGTGGGGGATAGAGCAGGATAGCGGGGATCCTCCGATGAGGATGAAGAAGGTATGGTGATGATGTTGGCGGGAGGGATGATCTGGAGCTGCATGTTGTTGTTGCCTGGCGGAGCTTGTGGCTGGAGCCCAAGACCCGGGATTGCCATTGGCGGATGGGAAGAAGGCTCTTCGGTGACTTGGCGAATGGCGGTCGCGAGTTGAGGATCGATGAAGGGCAGATTGGGTGCTTGAAGATCTGGAACCCGGGCTTCGGCGCCGTTGGCGGGAGCTGCTACCGTCTCGTTGGAGGTGATGTTGGCTTGAACAGCGGCGCTCCTCTTCCCGTTCTCGTTGATCCATGTGATGGGCGTGCGGATGCGGAGGCGATGACTGTGTTGTATGGTATGGCCGGCGTAGTAATCCTTGACATCAGCATTGTCCATGTTCGGCAACACGTCCATAGAGACATGCGACATAGTCTGTATGATTCCGAGGGCATGAAGATCTGTAACCTGGTTCATCCCGGGACGTAGCGCGATCATGTCATCTGGGTTTGGAGTACATCCGTGGTCTTTGCGCCACCTGTACGAGCAGTACGCCATAGCGCAGAGCTGGGATAAGTTAGTGGTGGGATCACTGAGACAGTACCTAGGTGGGAACAACTTACCGCCTTCGCGTGCTGGTCCCTACAACCGCACATGCCACACGCGTTCGCGCATCCGGAAGGATCTCCAGAAGACCCGCACCCAGGCTGTAGACAGTGACTACAAAGACCCTCTCTCGGTACGTCCGCGCCGAATATTGCGATGATGTCGAATTGGTCGTAGTAGACACCAGCCGGGGGTAGGAACTGCGTGGGCGGGCGGCCTCTAAGACTGCTGAGTGACATGACAGCGAGAATAGCTACGAGGTAACATTAACACATGCAATTCACGACATGGGTAAGTGGGGAGGCATAACGTACTGTTGGGAGGATGTCGGTGGGCCGTGGATGCCTTGAGTCACAACACGGAACGCGAAGTTGTTCACGCAAAGGCTTGTTTATTTGGTTCGCGGCGGGATCCCCTCGCACTCGTAGAAGAGACACCTATAGCCACAGCTCACCTGTCGGAGGCTTGCGACGTCTAGGCTCCCGATCGTGAAGAGCTTGGTTTCGAATCTGCCCTTATCCCAGTCGGCCGTGCAGTCCTTGTCAGCTCGTGCGGTAAGCTGGTGCTTTGCGCGTAGAGTCAGATCAAGTCAACACAGGTAGCGAGAGGAAAGGTAGGAGAGGGAGGCGGGGCTAAAATATACAGAGAATTGCGCTAGTAGACGCTAGCTCAGGCGCTCACTCAGCAAGCACGTGAGTATAGTCCACAGTCACCGACGCGTCTCCGCCTTCACCGCGCTTTTCCTGTCGTAGTCGCGAATTCAGCGCCCCTACGAATACCGCAACCATCTTGGAGGACCCCAATGCGTAGGCATGGAGCCAGATCGTGTTGATACCGATAGGATGGAAGACGATGGGGAAGAGACTGCTGCATATGTAAGTCTTTCGCTGACACCTCGTCGTACCATAACAACAACACTGACCAAAACATAGCAGCAACATATCCAAACCACCTTCTCTGGTCATGCGAGCCTCCAGCATCCCGAGCGCACCATCAGTCTCGCATTTCGTCCCGCATATCACGAGGATGGCGTGAATCAGGTGAATGACTGGTTGAATTCGATCAGCAGCGCCAGCAACGATCCATACTTAACAGCCGAGACTTTCCCCGTTCCACGATGCCCCGCTACACCCTCCATGTTCCAACCAGATTCTTCAACTCCCGCACCCGGTTGCGAACGCATCACCAAGGAGGCGTTTGTGCTTGTTTTGGAGCAGAATGCGAGATTGAGACAGGAGCTGGAATCGGCAAACAAAGCTCGCGCAAAGGCTGAAAAGACGTGTTCCGATCTGGCGGCTTGGACTTTGTGGGAGCGAGACAGGTTGATGCGCGAGTTGGAGGAGGCCAGAGCGATACATCGTGCTTTCATCCAGGATGAGGTCGACAAGCTCATCGCCGAAGAGACAGGCCGTCTTTCTATGGATCAGTAAGGGGATCGTGATCGTGCTCGAAGTTGATGTATTGTGGTAGGCATCCGCGAAGTACCTATGAGTTATGTTATTGTAGTCGAAGTGACTGCAGATATCTCACAGTAGTAACCAACGTGCTTGCACGATATTTGGCGTAAAAGGGCTTGTTTCTCCTTTATGGCATGCAAAGTGATGCAAGAATCTTCTGGATGTTTCCCCATCTGGTATCGCGGTGAGATGTCTCGCGCTTCCACCGCCAAGTTCCTCCGGGGTGCAAAGGGAAATTTCGAAGACCTGACCCCGCACGCCCCCTCAACACCAACACCACAACCCACTCATACTACATGGCAGATCACTCTTGGATGCCTAGATGGTTGCGCGCTACCTTTCCTCCACCCGCTGGAAATACTACTGCAGATCAGCAGCCTGAGACAACTGAAACAACTCCCGAGCAAGAACAAGACGTCGGCAGTGACGCAGACGACAGCCCAGAAGACAAGTCCAACGATAATGAGGAAGACAGAACTTCTACAAATGACACGCCAGACAACAACGCGAGTACCAACGCCACTCTCGGACGCGCGAACACGTTCATCAAGGCCATGTACAAACACGTCGTGGACAAGGTCACCCTGTGCGCCATGCAGGCAAAAGATGCTGTGGCCAGTGCAATCGAAAGGGTCAAGCAACTCGGGGTCAAGGGTGTGGCGAAAGCAGCCGGCGAGTGGATTAAGCGGCATCCTTGGGACTTCGCCCTAGTCGTCGTTCCGCTCGTACTGCTTGCGCTCGCAGCCATAATATTATCGGGCATAGGCTTTGGAGCGGGTGGCATAGTCGCTGGTAGGTCAGATCCACGGGTTCGCCGTGGAGTGAGGATACTGACTTTGTCATAGGTAGTGCAGCAGCCGCCATGCAAGCGGGTATCGGCAATGTGGTTGCAGGTTCTGTCTTCGCCACATGCACAAGCGCTATGATGGGCGGTTACGGTGCGCCGATCATCTTCGGGGGCCTTTGGGGCATAATAACAGCGTTGGTGATCGTAGTCGAGCGAGTTTGGAAGCGCTGGTCAGACCGGTCACAGCAAGCTCTGGTACCTCTATACGTCGCCGTACCAACGAGCGCCTTTAAGGTCGGAAAGCAAGCCGCGTATGCTGCGGTCTTCTATTCGATGTGTGCGGCGGCATACGTGGTATACCGTTTCAAAAGTTGGCAGCAGGGACGCGGGACCGAGAAGCTGAAGAAAGACTAGCCTACAGAGGCAATCCGAACAAGGTGGCAGGCATTCGCTTCTATGGGCGCGAAAAATTGGACGTCGATGTGCAGAGCTGTTTTTTTCAGGTCGGATTGTCACTTGTAACGGGAGGGGTCGCCGTTAAGAAGATCCTGCGGCTTTGGAGGTTCTCGTGCAGAACGATGATACGACTTGAACAAGCTTCCCGGTGCAACACACCATCGCATCAGTACCGTGAAGAACCTAAGTGACCGTGATCTTGTTGGCAAAGAATAGTTGTGCTCCCGTAGGCAAGCTCCTATCTGACATTCTTTGACCGGATTGTGCGAACAGTACATGGCCATGGCAGCGGGCACGGCGGAATACGAGAGCGACCGTTAGTTGGCTTGTTGAGAAGTAGAAGATGTCAGTCAATTGATCGCAGTGAAACGCTGTGTATTGACTCGGAAGATGTAGATGAGCTCATGACGTGGAACAGAGTGCAGTTGTGAGGAGTTCAGGAGTCGTCAGACATGGGATGGGGCGACCCACTAGCGCTGACTAACGATGATGCAGGCCAAGATCGGCGGCGGCGGCGCGGCAAGCCTCACCTCCTTCCTCGCCAGTGACAGACGCGTCTATCATGCCACCAGATCGATTACGCACCACCAACTCTCAAGGCAGGCAGAAGTCATGCTCAGAGTGCGCAAAGGCAAAGCGGAAATGCGGTCTCGAGCAGCCTCATTGCGCACGCTGCACCAGGCAGCATTTATCATGCATCTACCCTCCACAGCCTCGGTCACAGGCCACGGTTCCACAGACCAGCACATCTGCGACTCCCGCCGACTTGAGCCCATCCAATGCGCCAATGGAGATGCCAGAGATTAATGATGGCGGTTTCGCCTTCGACTTCGACCTGCCTAGCATGCCAGCCAACCCCACCGCAGACATCTTAGACTTCGACTTCTGCACCGCGACAGACTCTCTCGACGCGCTTACGGACATGCTCATCACACCAGCTCATCAGGAAGATCAATTAACGTTACAAAAGTCTTATACCCCAGTGAGCCAGCCCTTCTCAGCGAGACACCTGTCACCCTTCGCCAAGTCCAGAGTGGAGTACTCAATCGAGCTCGTCAAGCTCGCGCCAAAGATGATGGTAGAGCAATGTTGCACACCATGGGCCCACTCTTTACTTTACGAAGACCACATGCCACGATCATTACAAGACGCACACGCTGCATGTGCTCTCTATGTTACCATGAATGACAGCAATGCTGAGCACGTCGCACGGTTCATCACAAGTCGCGCAGAAGAGCTCATAGCCACTGCTATACCAATTACACCCATCGAGATCCTAGCTCGCACACAGGCTCTGATGTTGTATGAGATCATGCTGATCTTCGGCGGCGACATACGTCTCTACGCCCGAGCTGACGCCCTGATACCGCATCTGGAAGATGTGGGTGTTGTCCTTTTACCCATCGCAGCAGAGGATCCCGAGCTTCCCGCCACGCTTCCACTCTATCCCAGTACAGCCGCTCGCTCAGCGTGGAAATCATACATCTTTCGCGAGTCAGCCAGACGTACGGCCTTGGTAGCTTTCCACATAACCGTCATATACACCCTGCTGAGCGGGCAGATGAGGTCTTGCGCTAAAGAGCTCTCTTTGAAGAACCGCGTCACGCTTTCTGCGCACTTGTGGAAAGCACCGAGCGCTTTTGACTTTGCCATGGCGTGGAATAGCAAGAATCACTTTGTTATCAAGGAACTTGACTTCCCGGATGTCTTGAGGGGTGCGCAGCCGGATGACCTTGATGCCTTTGCTAACATGATGCTCATTGGTCTTCAAGGCATTGATGATATACGGGGCTGGTATCATACACGAGGCGGGGCTCTCACATAGCCTTTTCCAATCAGTGTCAGCGCGCCTGGACTGACTCATCTCAATGTCGTCCAACATCAACCAAGGGCCCGCACAAGCCAGGCTCCCGGTATTTGACAACCCCAAATGAGCAAATCTTCCTAATTCTCGCCGTCACCCAGGCCCTGCATCGAAGTACCCGGCACCGGTGTCTTTTGACAGTCAGCGAAGCCCAAGAGAAGCACAATATACAACGACTTACCTCGGGGAAATTCCACCACCGATCCACGTTTTCGATGAACTCCTCTCCCTTCTGTTTGCCATACTTTATGATCCAAGCTTTCTCTGAATTCGAAAGCGGGTGATGGCGCCAGGGACACTTGACACCCATCTCACAACGTTTCTTCGTAAGGTACGTGGTGAAGCAAAGTCCCAGATCGTGGCGCTGCTCCGAACCGTACATTCCGGGGGCGATCTTGCCGTTGGCACCGTTGACGAAGCGCTGGGCTTTCGGTTTGGCGGCGTATGTGGCGAAGATGCGATAGTCGTAGCCGCGGAGGTCGTGCACTGTCGGTGGAAACTCTGCTGTTTCGGCGTTCTGGAGGTGCGGCAGGCCTAGCTTAGGCTCGTTGGCTGACTTTGCTATGCTGGGCGTTTGGCTGGGTCTGCGGTGCGTGGACTGAACTGGCGTATGCTGAGTGATTGTAGAAGTGGATTCCGGGACTTCCTGATGGCGGTACGGCTCCTCATGCCTCGGATACTCAGGCTGTGACATCTTCCGACCGGTACTCATTCTCACCGCGGGAGCAACGTGGGCCGTCTCTAGAGCGTCGTCGTCCCAGTCCACTTCATCCTCGACGAAGTACTCTGGACGCGAAGCCGCCTCACTGAAGTGCTCCTGATGGTGTTGTTGCGCATCTTGATCTTGGCCGTACGCTTGCTGGATGTGAGCTTCCAGTCGGCTGGTCTCTCTCGTGCGACTGATTCGGAAGGCAGCATCCTGCCTGGGCGACCAATGCCTATCGTCATCGCGGTCACCGTATCGACCAGCCATAGCCTTCGCCTCGTCCGCAGCAACCTCAGCATCAGTCTTGATCTGACCAACCCGAACTTTGCAAGCACGAGCAATATGTCCCTGCTCTCCACATCGAAAACAACCCTTCTTATCAGTGAAGGCAGCTGGGCAATCAGCAACCCTATGCCCTTGATAGTCTTAGCAAGGAAGAGTTGGAAATCTGCAGACACCACGAACCTTTCTTGTTACAAGCAAAGCACCGCTGGTACTCTGCCTTCTCTGGCTTCCGGTCCTCTCGCTGCGGCTCCACGTCGACGGTCTCACGACGCAGCGGCGACCGCTCTCGATACCGGGCTCGCTCACCACGCCAATCTTGCTCATCCCGGGGATCTTGACGCCGGGCAGGCGAACGACTACGGTCACGATCCCGCTGTCTCACTCGCAGTTCTTCTTCCGCCCGTGCGTAATCTCGTTTTCGTACAGCGAGCTGCGGACGGCGTCGACCTTGCATCCTCTCGCCATCGACATCGTCGCTACCTCTACCCCGGTCTCCCTGTTCTCTGGGTCCCCTCGGTGGGGGCTCAGACGGAGGCGGTGGAGGGTTGTTGGGACCGTACGGACCTGGTTGTGCTGCGCCGCGGTCTCGCATGTTGGGTTGCCGTGACATGTCTGCGAGAGTCAGTGTAGATGGTTACGCCAGGTTAGCCAAGATCAATTCAGAGGTATCAAGCTGGGTTTATTGGGGATGAAGTGGAGCTTCTGTCAGGTGGGAGTAGCAAGTCTACGTGACCGTGTATTGACGCACGGGCCAGTCACGCAGTCACGCAGCGTAGTAACGCAGCGTAGTAGCGAGGGTTTGTTGTTATGTTGTGACGTCAGGCTCATTACATTATGGCTTTTGTGTCACATACATACAAGCTATCCCTTGGTGCTGTTGAGGCCAGTTGATGTGGATATGTACTGCGAGGCGCTTGAAGGAGCTGACATGAACGTCCGCATGGGATGAGGCAGTCACATGTATTGTAGAACACAAAGCTTTACGCAAGCTTTCTATTGAAACATACTAGACAGAAAGAGAGACGTTGAACCGTATCCTGCAGTCTACGCTGATATTTCAGTCGTTTACTGCATTCTTAACCCACTAACGGGAGTCTACGATATATTCCGTCTTTAGATATTAGTCACCGTTGCTTGTCGCAGGACCTTCTCGGTCACTGGTCACTCCTTTGATAATAGCAGGTAATCGTTACGAAGGATCTGCACTGTTGATAGCGATGTCGTTGGGAGGTACTTGACGTAAAGTCGGATTCTAGTGTCATTTATATCGAACGGTATCTGCGTTGAAACAGCTGCAATTGAAGTAGTGCGGAGTGTAAGTCAACATAAGAAAGTCGGCGGATATCAAGGACGAACTCAGATTCTTGGTCATCCTAAGGGTATCTCTAAGTGGGTGGACGCCCGGGAAGAGATATCAGAGCAACACGGAAACTTGTTTCTTGGTTCATGTTAGCACTCATCTTGGCAACATGGCACCACGCACTGTCTGTCGATTTTGAACTATAACGAAATATAATTTCAGATCTCAATCGTGAGGCTAGACACCTCAACGAAGAAACCTTCCCAAGCCAACACAAATATAGTAGAGTATCAAAACAAAGCTAGCCAATCTACCTCAGCCTACAACCCCTCTCTGAACACACTCCTCCGACTCTCCGTCGGGCTGTTCTCTACACTATCCACACTACCCGCTTTCTTGTGCTTGCTCACGCTCGGCATAGTCGCCGTAGCACCACCCCGATAACTCGTATCCGCATCGAGCACCGGCCTAGGACTCACGCCCCTCAAACTCGCCGCATTATCGTCACCAAACGGATTCCTCCCACTCTGCGCATCGAGATGTTCGTCGTAGGAATCGCGTGTGCGGCTACGTCCGCGACTTGGCTCGACATTATTATACGGCGTGGGGTTGGCATACGGATTCGCAGTCTGCCCACCATGGGTAGACGCCGGTTCATGAAGCCCCAGTTCCTGCTCTTCATAGTACGCCTCGTCGCCCACGCGCGAACTCCACGCCTCATCAGGGTCGAGACGACTTCCCGCGCCGCGGCCCCCGCCGACGCCGCGCCCGCCGCTGTAGCCGGCGTCTTCGTAGCCGCTACCCGTTGTGTACCGGTTGTTTCTGTTCTTGAACTTGCGCACCTGGGTGTCGAACCAGCCTTTGATGCCCGTGGGCGCGGGACCCGGGTAGTTTGAGGTTGCGCCAGCGTCAGAGGAGCGGCTGAAGGCTACCATTGGGTTCATGGAGGGTGGAGGTAGGCCATTGCGGGAGGCGTTCCACCGGGCGTAGAAGTACCATCCGAAGTAGGAGAAGGAGAGCAGGAGGAGCAGGATGATGATGAAGACTAGCCAGCCGTTCATGGTGGCGGTGGTCGTGTGGGTTGTTGGGGGGAGGGCTTAGGGTCGCATGTGCGGTTTGCTGGTCGTGGGCGCGATTGCGCGGATCCGATGGGTTTGCTGTCGCTGATGCGGACGGGCTTGTCTCTGTGGGCAGGGGGCGATGGGCCTGTTGGTGTCCCGACAGGCGTGGAATGCGACGTCGGCTGGCTGCGCCGCAATGTCAATTTGTTGGTGTAGCTGACAGGCGCGGCTGAGTTCCTCCAGCCCAGGCGGCTGCGTAGTATCGCCAAGTGATGACGTAACCCTTGCTGACGCCGCTGCCCGAATCTAACAACTGGCAATAAGACGGAGAAATCCTTTGCGATGTTAACAATGACAGGAAGCAGTGTCGAACCCCTATCGTTAAAATCTGTTCCGACGGAAAAGTTTCAGATTGATGCGTGCTTTTCGTCTCACGACGAGGCCGTTATTGAACATGACGCACGCGGACTAGCGTCTACCGTAACGAAAAATGGGGCAGGTGGGATTGCGCGATTGGGCTGCTAGCCTATCACGCCTATCTCCACACTATGGACTGGGTGACATTGCATGTGGCAGGAACCGGACGTTCATCGCTCGGTTCGACTTCTGGCCGTCTGTGAACTGATCAACATCTCACTCATTTGCGATCGCACTAAAGTAAAAAGTCCGGCCGAGTCATTGTTTACACTAAGCTGTCATCATGAACAGATCTGGCGGGGACGATCAGCATCGCAAGATCGTGTTCACGACTCAAAGCGTTGACGGCGAGTCAGAGGCTGTTGTTACGTTACAAGAGCACAAAGATCCCACGAGGCCACCTTTCTTGATCAGTTTATCAAAAAGACCTCAACCTGGCGATAAACAACCACCGTTCTCCCCACCCGAAAAGCGCGAGACTCATGTTATCATCTCGAGTGGCTCCGGCCATGGACTCGCGGATGAGTTCTACTCCAGCGCCGTCGGCCCGATCCTCGAAAGCATACATGGACACAGAGGCATGGAAGAGTTGGAAGTACACACCACGGAATCGCCAACCAGCATCTTGGAACTCACCGACGCCGTCCTGTTTCCAGCCGCCAATCAAGGAAAACCAATCCGCATCATCCTCCTCTCTGGAGACGGCGGTATCGTAGACCTCGTAAATGGTCTCTCATCCAAAACACCGAACCCCCAAGCCTACATCTCCCCGCAAGTCGTCATCCTCCCTCTCGGCACAGCAAACGCGCTCTACCACTCCATCAATGCCGGAGCATACGACGCATGGGGTCTCCCCGCCCTGACATCATGGAAAACAAAGCCCCTACCCACATTCACAGCGACCTTCTCCCCCGGCGCCCGCCTCCTCATCGATGAAGGCCGACAAGAGCAAGAACTACCCAAAGACCCACAAGGCAACGGCATTCTCCACGGCGCCGTCGTAGCCTCCTGGGGCATGCACGCCACGCTCGTCGGCGACAGCGACACAACCGAGTACCGCAAGCACGGCGTCGAGCGCTTCAAGATGGCTGCGAAAGAAGCTTTGTACCCAGCCGATGGATCGCCGCCACATCCGTACAAAGGCAGAGTCTCTATCCTCCAAGAAAAAGGAAAAGATCGTTGGACCGCTCTCCCGGAAGAAGAGCACATGTACATCCTCGCAACCATGGTCTCGCACCTCGAGAAACCATTCTGCATCTCCCCCGCTACTAAACCGCTAGACGGGAGTATGCATCTTGTACATTTTACACCGAGGAGTGGCGATGAGGTCATGGGTATCATGAATAAAGCGTATGATGGGGGTAAGCATGTGGAGGATGGGGATGTGAGGTATGCGTGTATTGATGGGTTGAGGATTGAGTTTGAGGGCAAGGAGGAGGACGGGAGGTGGAGGCGGATATGTGTTGATGGGAAGATTGTAAGGTTGGAGAAGGATGGGTGGGTGGAGGTTAGGAGGGTGATGGAGGGGGGTGCGAAGGGGGTGTTGGATGTTGTTGTTGTTTAGGGTGGTGTTGTTGTGATTGAGAGGAGATGTGTATGGCCTATAGACTACGGATGAATCGTTTGAAGATCGCGCAGTTGAGTCCGTCGCCTTGGGGTGTGCGTTGCAAGACATCATCTCAGTGAATACAGCTCACACAAACCCGCCTCATCCCCCTTCACTTATCCGCCCTCCCAACTGCGCCCACTTTACTTTGTCGGCAACAGCGCCACCCCACACCCGCACCCTCACCTCTAGATCCACTTACATCCATCCATCAGTCCTTGCTCATGTATATACATTTTCTAATTTCTGCAACTACCCATCAAACGCGACCGCGGCCGCAGAGCAGTTTGGTCCCCCCGCCGTCTCCCCTTCATTGGGCCCCCCGCCGTTATCTCCCCTTCAATGGGCCCCCCGTTAAGAAAACAGCCGAGTTCGAAACTCTGGTCGTTCCCCATTTTTTTTGCCGGTTTTTTTTTTTTGGATTTTTGGACTTGGTCCGCAGGTGAAGGAATAATGTGTCGCTACACCTTACCCCGCCCGTTCACTCATGTCTTTCTCCTTGCCTCGCTGCGCGTCGATGGCCTTCGGCTTCTACTTGTGTTATCCACTCTTGTGGGAGATTCAGTGTGCTCTTGACGAAACTTTCTTGCTCTTTTTCTGTCAACATGCGCCTGCTGACATAGAGGAAGTGCGCCTTAAACGCGTGCCATAATTCGGTATCAGCATCCGTATGGCCATATGCAAAAGGTCGAGGGAAGTACGGATCGTTGCGCCAGAACGCATGGACTGCTTGGGCGATACCAGTTGCATCTTGAGCCATAGGACGTACGCAGTCGTAGTCTAGCATCCAGATGACGAGGTCTTCATCCAGCAGCTTGAACATTTGTGTTGGCGTGTCGCCGCTGATAGATGATGTAGCCGGGGCAAGAACAAACTCAACATCATTTGCATCGACTTCGGCCTTCCAGTAACAATGCGCGAGCGCCTCAGCTAGAGTCTTTGCGATGACAACAGCATTCATACCCAGCTCTTCCATTTGATCGACGCAAAGGCCATAGTTGCGCAGATTGAAGAACATCCCCGGCGGGCGTCCTTCTGGTCTCCGTTTACCCGTGTACACTCGAATAAGGCAATCTTCATTCTTCTTGCTCGTCCTCGTAGCCTCCTTCAGCGTCTCGCGACAATATCTGTCGATAAGCATCTCGCGAATAGGCAGTCCTACAGCAGGTATCCTCTCCTGCGTGTAGCTCCTACTCACCTCTTCACCCGCAGGAAAACAAGTGAAA